CCCCCCCCGCCTTCCGACTGGCAGGCCCGTCTTTTCCCTTTTGGAGCCAGAACTCCAGGCATCCTTCTAGAAGGCCACACTGGTTTGTTGGCTTTCCTTAGTCCCACCAACCATATCCCCTTCTCATAGAACCTGATTCTCTAGCCGTCTATTTCCCCAGCCCCCTTCTGTGTTCCTTGACTGCACTGCTTGCGAGAGCTGCTCATCACTTGTTTCACCTGGAGCTCTGTGCACGCAGAATTGGACCTAGCCACTGTAAGGCACTTCTAGAAGGCCACACTGGTTTGTTGGCTTTCCTTAGTCCCACCAACCATATCCCCTTCTCATAGAACCTGATTCTCTAGCCGTCTATTTCCCCAGCCCCCTTCTGTGTTCCTTGACTGCACTGCTTGCGAGAGCTGCTCATCACTTGTTTCACCTGGAGCTCTGTGCACGCAGAATTGGACCTAGCCACTGTAAGGCAATGTTCAGCCACTAGGTGGCACTTTGTGCACAATCTTATTTAAATGAACCTTACTTGCAAATCCGCGGGTATTCCGGGATGGGGATAGCGGTAGCTCATTTTTTGTATCTAGAACTTAGCAAATGTGTGGCTATCTGCTGTCTATCCATGGGCATCTGCATCTGTGGATGCTGATAAAAATATCTGCGACTCATTTTTGTGGATACAAATTTTGTAGCCACACAGGCCTTTACTTACCTGCACCTGCCAGAGCATTAAAGCAGTTTTGGAACACAGGTTGTATAAGCAAGTATGCTCTGAAGCCAGGCCACACCTGGTAGAGGACAGGTGTCAGAAGTGAATCAAGAACAAAAATCAGATGGAAAATAGCAACAAAGATGCAGATAGAAGAAAGAGGATGCGGGATCAACAACATGCCACTCCTCAATGCCCCAGAGAATGTCAGCTTTGTAAAACCTTCATAATGGACAGGAGGCTGGACTGGGAAACGGTTTTTTGCAAGCTTTCGAACTGCAAACAAATTTCACAAAGCCTAGAGAGATACAGGTATCTAATATATGCTAAGGCAAAGCATATCTTTCAATCCTTTGACTTTACTGAAGACAGCCACAAAGACAGCTCTGAAAGGGCTTTGACTATGTGTGAGGCACACTTTATACCTCACAGAAATGTGGTTTAATCAAAGAGCATGTTTTCACCAAAGAATTCAAGCAGCAGGGGAAAATGCTGAATGCTTTCTAACAGCTTTGCAAACATTGGCTGAACACTGATTTTTGGGACTGCAAAACAGGAAAATACCAGAGATGGGCTGGTTATTGAGTTAACAGATAAACCTGATGCTACCTCATAAACTTGGGAAATCTAAAATTAGCTTAAAAACTGAAACCAGGCAGCTGAATGCTAAGTCATGATCATAAAACTCCTGAGGCAAGGAGAGAACATCCAAGGTAAGAGGGATAAATTCCACCCTACATGCATGAAATGTGGGAAAAGTCATATCCCAAGAGATAAGGCAAGACCTGCCAGAGGCACATGCTGTAATAAATGCCTATAATATATTAAACACTTTACAGCTGTTTGTCCCACCAAAGGGTCAGGGAGTTGACATATATGGCAGACAATCAGTAGTTACTGTTTCTGGAATCTATTGTTTGTGATAGTACTAGAGATGTAGCTGTATTAGTCTGGTCTTGTTGAAACAAAAGACAGCACTGGGCATTGTCTCAAGGACCTCTCTACATGTATATTACTTCAAGGAGACTTTAACACCAGACTACAAAGGGAAACCTCAGAACTGTCATTCATGCTTAAATTTGACACTTTACGAATGGGCCTTAACAAGGATGCTAACTACCTTACCGTTACAAAGATAGCTTCCCCAATTATCACCCTTAATATCATGAACTCATAGACACTAACCTCCCTCCCTCACCCTCCCTCTGTTCTAAAATCTGATTTGTCAATTTTATGTGCTCACTTTTTTTGATTGTATCCTTTTGGTATATATAGTTGTGCCAATTTTCTTCCACAATTTGATCTGAGGAAGTGAGTCTGGCCCATGAAAGCTCATCACCTAATAAACCATCTTGTTAGTCTTTAAAGTGCTGCATTGTTTGTGATGACACAGATCCTGCCTGGAGAGTGAACTTGAATATTGATGGCAAGATTGATTTAAAATTGACTCAGGGTCTGAGGTCATAGTCATCTCAGACTAGATTTGCAATCATCTGACACAGCTGTGACTAGCCCTGGAGGTAGCAGTTCACTACAAACAGTTTATCCCAGATTGCATGGGATCAAAAGACCACAGACCAACACCCCAGGATGGGTCTAATGAGAACTTGATGGAATGCTTGGTGCTATTGGACTTTCGGTAGGAGAGCAAGTACAATAAGCTTAAGAGGCAATGCTGCACCATAATGCGTACATACAGGTCGTAGGATATTTATCATACTACTACATAAAGTGGAAACTGAGTTAGAAAATAGAATGGCTATCATAGTCAGGAAAATTGCTGAGCCAAAAGCTACCTTTTGAGACTATCGGTGCACCTGACATTTTACAGAGAAAGATGGCAGTATGGTTAACCATCATCAGAAGCCACAGTCAGTCTCCTGCAGGCCTCTAGCCCTCATGAACGGTCCAGACAGACCAGACTTCTGTGGTAAATGATTATTTAATCTAGAATCACAAGCATTAGGATCTTCCTATTCCAAAGAACGAGATTCACGCTCCACATCAAAATATACTTTAGATCTTATCCAAAAATGATGCAGTAACTAAAGAGTTAATACATAAAAAGGAAGCATTATTAAGAGGTTAAAATTAATCATATAGATTAGTTGATTTCTGAGTCTATAAATCAGATTAATAGCAGTGATATTAAATCTGCCAGTTTGTAATATGTCTCTCTGATTAATCCCAAATATTGGGGTCTTCAGACCCATTGTACTAAGCTCTTCTTTGTTAGAAATCATAATACAGAGACTTGGAGCAGGAAAGAGGCCAAAAATTGATGTCATAGTCTCCACTTTTATATTCTCAGCCCATGTGCATGGAAAGTTACTGGCATGCAAACATGAAATCTTGGATCACATGTCGTTACATGCTGTTGCTGAGTCATGGGGTAGACAATGTCACCATTCCTTCTCCTTACTGGGCCATCACCACATGGCTGACTAGTTTCAATGCATTTCTTTCTTGTTGGTGTTATCCAGGAACACAGCACACCTGAGATGCAAACACACACAAATATTCACAACTTCAGATACAATGGTGATGTGTGGATAATAATAATATGTAGCAGCTCATAACATTTCCATTGACATACTTGTATAAGATTTATCACAATTGTGCACCAGTGGTGATATCTTAGTGTAAACATGGTCAATTTGCTTTTTAGACAACCGTAGAAGTTACGGGATAGAAACATATGCATGGCTACATCTACACTGTGCATGCTTGCGCAATAAGATATGCAAATGAGGCACAGGGATGAATATCACCGTGCCTCATTTGCATACCTAAGGAGCCGCCATTTTTGCAGCACAGGCTTTTGCACAAGAAGAAGCTGTCTACACTGCTCCTTCTTGCACAAAAAACACCCTCTTGCACAGAGCCGTTCTTCCTGAAAATAAGAGGCAGAATGGCTCTGTGCAAGAGGGGTTTTTTGCACAAGGAGCAGTGTAGACAGCTCCTTCTTGCGCAAAAGTCTGTGCTGCAAAATGGTGTCTCATTAGGTATGCAAATAAGGCGCAGTTATATTCATCCCCGTGCCTTATTTGCATATGTTATTGCACAACAATGCACAGTGTAGACGTAGCCTTGGTAAGCAGAGATTTCTTGTGCTGATGTCAAAAGTAAGAGCAGTATAGCTGGTTCTCAGGCACGTACATAATGAAGAGGCTTGTTTGTATGTGCACGATGCACGTAAAATGATGGCTACTGACACATGTAATTTGAAATCCATACGACAGCGAAAAGCTGTGAAGAGACTTGAGTTTCCAGACCCCTGAGCAGGAATTCCAGCCTGGGGCCCCCGGTTCTTTGGAGCTGAGTGAATTGGATTGCTCGGGGGCTCCAGGAGGCCTTTCCTCCCTGCTGCTACCATGCAGTGTGTCAGGGTGAAAGGTTTGTCAACAGCCAAGGGGCAGAGGTCAACTCTGTGTGCAGCAAAGGCCCCAGGATGACACCAATTCAAGTGACTGGCCTGAAAAGTGACCTGTGGTCGTGCGTCAGCACCATAGTCAGCCAGGCCTCCCAAGAGCCGCTAGTCAACAGCAAACCCCTGGCTATGGATGAGTCTGTCAAAACTCCGTACTAGGGATGTTAAATTTTGATTAATCAACTTATCAAGTAGTCAATGAAATTTCCATCGACTACTTGATTAGTCAATAAGGGAGGGAGCTCCCTATCCTGATGTAACTCGCCCTGTGAAATATACAAGAGCTGCCCTGGCTCTTGTACATTTCAAAGTGAGGCACAGCACTAGGGATGCCTCTGCCTCCCCTGCCCCCAGTGAAGACGGTGCTGGGGAACCGGCTTTTAAGCTGGCTGCACCAGCTCCTGCTCCCCCACCCTTATTGCCTCTCTCTGATAAAGGCAGCAAGCTTGATACAGAGGTAGAAAGGGGGAGGGGGGAGAAGCGACTAGTCAAGTGACTACTCAACTATCCCATAAGCTTAAGCTTATTAGGTAGTCAATTAGTTGCTTACATCCCTACTCTGAACCCCCTCTAGTCTTGGTTACAAATGGTGATTAGCGGGTTTACTGAGAGCTTTAATCCTAGGTGTCCTCTCTCCGCTAACACTGGGAAGGGCCAGGCCTCAGGCTGGTGACAGGGCTCAGCCTTGCCCACGGGTTAAGAAACGGGAGCAGAGCCAGTGGTGCATGGACACCCAGCAGGTCTGGGAAAGGCAACAGTTGAACTAGCCGCCTATGCGGTCCCTTATAGCACAGAGCCGCACAGCACGTTTCATGGATGCTCCATCACATGGCCCCGCTTGTGCACCCCTCCCACTCCTAGTACCTGTGGTGATGTTTGTGTATCCCCTTCCCCCCAGCACAGAGCCGCACAGCACGTTTCATGGATGCTCCATCACATGGCCCCGCTTGTGCACCCCTCCCACTCCTAGTACCTGTGGTGATGTTTGTGTATCCCCTTCCCCCCAACCGCAGCACCTTCCTCCTGCATCCCTTTGCCTTCTTCCCCTGCCCT